TGCGGATCAATGATCACTCCTTCCCACACGATGTAAAAAACAGCAATTGCTTTTTGGGGTTACCTTATAGGTCTATTTGGAAAGGATGTTAGAATAATTCAGAACTTGTAGTGGGTTCATACGGATATAAAATGTAGTGACTAGCTACACAAAGGCAGGAAAAGAAGTACGACTAAGAGATGGGAACCATACCAATATTTATTATCTTTGGACGTTCAAGTAACAATATAAGATACTCAAATTACACTATGTTGATAAAAGACACCGAAAAAACTACAGGCCCTTCTAGACAGGATACTAAAGAAAAACAAAAAAGTAAAAAAGATTAAGCATTAACTGCACAAGGACAGAAAATACGGTTATCATCAAGGGAAAATATCTTAAATGTGCACAGATGAAGAAAGAATTGAAAGCAACAGAAGGATACTGAGAATTCTAAGAACACAGTGAGTAAGCAACGAAGAAGTCTAAATGAAAAATGGTAACAAAAAACATCTATACTCAGAATCGTTAAGAGACAGTTGAACCTTCTTAGACATGTAATGAGATAGGAGGTTTGGAAAACTTCACTGGACATATCGAGTGGGGGGGCGAGAGAGAAGTCACCGGGCAACCTACCTGATGAGTTTAGGCGAACGGACAACGTAAAGGGGTTGGTAGACTTGGAAAAGGGATAACCTTTTCTAAGAGGCCACAAGGGATAAAGAATTGTGGAAAGCTACGATCACTGCCGTCCATAGGATTCTCAATATTCTTCTGTAGGACCACATTGTTTACTCCTCATCCGCGGGGATATTGTCCGGCATTCGCTACCATATCTAATTATGGATATCACAGCAATCTGCCAGTCATTTCTTTGCTTCTAACGAAATTTTGTTTCTGAAACACATTATTGAGAAATCTAAAATAATGTTCGAAACAAAGAAGAGAATGCTGAACTGCTATGCAATATCAGTTTTCCTATATAACAGTGAATGCTGTATAAGTTATCATATATAAAGGGAAACTTGAGGTAACAGAGATGTGGTTCTACAGAAGGATTCTGAGAATTCCATTGACGGTGCAACAGGGTTATTTTAAGGGAAATGGAAACAAAAACATATGTATACTTAGAATCATTGAAAGACAGCTGGAATTACATGATGATTAAAGAAGGCTTGAAGAATTTGGCACTCACGTATTGGTATATTGGCAAGTCGGGCAGAGTGAAACAATTAATAACCTACCTAACAAGCTTGTGTAAATGTTTTTCAGATTAGGTAGTTGGAAGAATAGTAAAAAAAATGGTAAGTGCTACAAAGGATAGGAAATTGTGGAGAGTCATCATGGCCCACGTCCTGAACAGCGACATATATTAAGCGGTTTGTGAAATACTTGCTGCTTAATACAATAAATGTACGGTTTAATTTATTTATAGAGTAGTTATCTTAGCAAACTGGGAACTGGCCGTTTGAAAGTTTGGCGATGCGGTAGCACTGTTTGTAGAGTCTGCCTGGTTGCAGTCACAAGGTTTCTTAGCATTCGATCATTCGAATTTCCATCGAGAAAAATCGATTAGTGATGACTCAACAGTTCATAACTTGAAAGTAGGCGAAAAGTTGTCCAGTCTAGCCAAATTTTCTTTACGTCTATCAATCGATTTCGTCTCAGAATTAAATTAATTGCTAAATTAACTATTATCTGTATAAAATCTTAGTTTGTAGGGAAAGGAAAATTCTTAATCAAAGAATCAACTCTGAAAAATTTTGCTAGTTTGTGAGAAGAGGGACATTCAAATAATGGAGATTTTACAACTATAAAATCTTTCTCGGAGCTTCTTAAAAGAACATCTTATATAAACTTTCAAGAATACATATTTTTCCAATACTATTTTAGGATTTTTCTTTTTAGTTTAAGCGATAGCTAAAGTTGAATGGATTTCCCCACCAAAACAATCCTCACTCGCGGCTTACGGTGATATCACTTTGCAACACTGGTCCTCGTCCGATCACCTAAGTTAGCCAACCACGAGCCTGGACAGTACCTTGATGGGTGACCGGTTGGGAATGGCAGCTGTTGTAGATTTGGATGAGCGGATGGTGTAATGGATAATGGCTCAGAAGGAGAAATCGGAAAGACGTGTTCGATTTTAACTCGAATTCGTTATATTCATTTTCCCACAAACTACCCTTTCGAAAGGTACGCATCCTCCTCTTCTCCACCTCATGTATAGGTTTAACAGTAGGACTTTTAGCTGGAAATCATTAATTATCAACAAAAACGTTTTATTACAATATTCAGTCGAAAAACAAGGGAATTGTTTTTACTGCCCAAAAATGCGCTTTGGCTTTAAATAACCTACAAAAGGTTAATAAGCCATAAAAGACAAATCAATCAATAACACACACAGACACACACACACGCGCGCGGATATTATCACACACGTCCAATACATTCAGGTTTAAGCGTTCACGTTCCGATTGAACATCACTAGATTAGATATTTATTAAATTTAGTTTCATCAGGCCCAAGACTCTTATAGTTGTGCATCCAGTAATGAACTCGCAATAGTCTCGGTGACTAGCTTGCTATCCTTTAAAGCTCTTTCGATCCTTTAGGTCCTTGTCAGCCAAATCGAAAATTATTGTGACTAATTAATAATTAAGCCTTATCAAGCTGGAGACAAGCTATGCTTCGGTGCAGGCACATTGCTTCTAAACGTTTTACCGTTCAAATTTCCATCAAGAGAAATCGATTAGTGATGATTTAAAAGTTGGTAGGAAAGGTAGAAATCTTAATCAGGTCAACTGGGTGTAATGTGGCTCATTTAAAATGAAGTGAAAACTTAAATATCGGATATTATCTAAGTGTAAAAACAACACTAAATCATCTCAATAAAACATCTTATATCTACTTCTATATAATAAATGCGAATTTCAATGTGTCACTGTATCACACATTTTCAAATAAAGGAACACAACTCTATAACTTTCAACAGCTCATGTTACAGAAATTTTCGATTCCCAAGTTTTCATTACCGCGATTGTTTTCGGCGATTTTTTTACGTGATTTTTTGTGACGAATTTTTTGTACGATAACAATTTTTATAACTTGGAAATAAATTTGGGAATAATCGAGATTAATTGCGAAATCCAGTGAAAGTCACCTATGGAATAAAAATGATTGTTTGTACAGAAAGGACCTACGCCTATCAAATTGTCTCTAAATTAAGTGGCGACAGAAGAATTATTTAAAAGGTAAGCTTAAATATTAATGTAATACTTAAATGCAGCGATCAATTTTGAGTTCTTTTGCAGTTTATTGTTGCCTATCGCATACGGCAGCAGTATGCCTTACAAAAAAACAAAGGATCAGATTGCAATCAAAAGAACCAAGGCTGCAGTGAGGAAAAGAAATTCCCGTGCAAATGAAAACCCAGATGAAACGGCAAGCAGGAGAACTTTCCAATGCTAAAAATATGCAAAGACTCTCAAATTCCTGAATGAGCCGAACGTCCAATCAAGAGACCTCCACAGGAGCTATGTTAAATGCCTCCCAATAGGGCGGCTTTTAAGCTAGTTTTAAATAATTTATGGCTATATGACATTGTAACACCGGTTGTCGTATAATCACTGAAGTTAAGAAACATGTTAATGAGAGAGCAAAATTCCAATTCCAGTTCGTTATATTCACTTACGGGCAAATGCCATTGAGAAAAGTTATGAATCTATCTTGTCTCTCTCAGCTATGACTTAATTGGTAAGACTTGTATCACTAAAGCATTATTATCCCCTCCCACTTACAATGTAAAATATTTTCTGGGTTTAAATAACCTGTGAAAGGCTGATAAGCAATAGAAAACAAATCAGTTAATCATCATGACATTAACCAGCATGTTCCATAATGGCTGCTGTCTCTGTTCCTAGATGGGATTTGTGGGAGAGGATCATAGTGGAGACATTGGGAAGCATCTTCAATCGGAGACTAGTATCACTAAACCATTATTAACTAAGAAAAAAAAAAGGAAAGAAATTCTTTAAATCTAAAAAATATTTTCTGGTTTTAAATAACCTTAAAAGGCTTGGTAAGCCACAGAAAACGGATGAATCAACATGACCTTAACCTGTAGGGCATGTCTCCCAGTGGCTGACAAACCTCTGTTCATTCATTGATTGGATTAGTGTCAAATTAGTGTCACGTTGTCAAAGAATTCATGGAGAAAACACAATCCTTCCGTGAAAATGTTCTATGGACAGAAGAAACAAAAATAGAGTTTCTTTGTAATTCACACTGACAATATGTTCACAGACGGTAAATTGAAGTTTATAAGGAAAAGAACCCTCTACCAACAGTTATACATGGTAGAGGACCCATAATGTGGTAGAGCTGACCGTATCACAGGAGGGAATGCCATGTGCCGAAAGGTTGGATGTGAGGGTGGTATAATGGGAAATAGCTCGGAATTGTTAGTGGGAGAGCCGAGTTCAAATTCTCGTTGGGTTCGTTATATTCATTTACGCGCAAATCCGCTTGGGAAAGGTATGGATCTATATCAACTCTCTCAGTTATGCTTTAATTAGTAAAACCATGACTATCACTCAACCATTATTATCACAAAAATCAATTCTTACATTATAAAAATCTTTTCTAGCTTCAGAGAAACTGCCAAAGGGTTGATAAGTCTTAAAAAACGAATCAGTCAATGGAAGAAGAATTGAAAGAAACTAACAACTGTTCACGTTTTAAAAAGCGTAAAATTAAATATTAAATTATATTTAAATTAAAATAAAAATTAAATTAAAATAAGGAGTCGAATAAAATGAGAAAAATATTTTTCGAAAAAAGATTTACAATGAAAAAAAAAAGACCTTGCGGGAAATAATTTATGAAGAAGACAAAAAGAAATTAACGATGTTTATCATGGATGATTTGTGACGAACAGAAGAGTAAACATAAAGGAGAGAAAGTATGATGAAGAAGAAGAAAGTTCGTTAGGGTATTTAATGGCGAATCTTGTATACTCACTAATCAACAGTAATAATTTCGTTAACACGTTTACCCAACGCTGATGTGCCAAAGAAGAAGAAGAAAGATGAAAGCGAACAGGGAAGAACATATTTCAGAGATGAAGAAGAGACTTGTAGTATTAGAAATCGGGTTCTACAGAAGGATGATGAGAATAGCATGGATTGAACATGTGTGCAACGACGAAGTTTTAGACGAAAAGGATACAAAAAAGGAAACTCATGCTTAACATCAGAAAGAGACAGCTGAAATCTTTAGGGCGCGTAATGAGGAAAGAGGGTTTGGAAAAATTTGTTGCAAAATAGATTGAAGGCAAGAGGAACGCATAACCTACCTAAAAGCTTCAAAAATTGATGGCAGAACAGGGTTTAGGTGAGATAAAAAGACTATGATTATTAAGAAGGTACCAAGTATATAGAAGAAGAAGAAGAAGAAGAAGAAGAAGAAGAAGAAGAAGAAGAAGAAGGATTTTTGCAAACGGATTAATGAAAAATCATTGTACGAGGGTCATTCAGTAAATAAGGTGAATTTTTCGGTATAAGGACTTTTAATACAGATAGAAGCTTACTTTTTAATTTTTTTTTTGTTTTATTTCTTTTTCACATGGATTTAATTTCTTTTGTAGATTAAAAAAAAAAACTTTGAGAGTTTTGGCGATTAACAAAGATGGCCGACCAAGAAGCATGCTCCAGGATTGAACAACGGTCAGTTATCAAGTTTTTGGTTGCTGAAGGGTGCAAACCAGTTGAAATTCATAAAAGAATGTAAACTGTGTATGGTGTCACATGTTTCAGCCAAAAAATGTCTACACGTGGGCTAAATTGTTTAAAGAAGGACGGAGCAGTGTTGAGGATGAAGACAGGCCTAGGAGGCCTACAGAAGTGAGGTCTCCTGAGGTGATCGAATCAGTCAATGACCTCATTCAGTCTGACAGAAGAACTACTGTGAACTGCTGAGGCAAGTCAAGAAAGACATAAAGAACAAACGCAGGGGTCATCAGTCAGAAGGAGTCATCTTGCATCATGACAAGCTTGTAAAATGATCGGGGATTTGGTAAAAACAATGGACACATTGTATTTAACTAAAAAATTTTGTTTTGAATTTTCTAATCGGGCGCGAATTTTTGCAATGAGCTAATGAATGAAGAACTTCCATTTTTTTAACTTAAAATTCCCACTTTGTGGTTTCTCTTCTGCCTTGATTTATTTATCTTATACAGAGAGTTGGTCCTAACAGAAGTTTACCAGTGTTTATTATTGTTGGACACAATTTTAAGATATGCAGATGCGTCGGTGTTGAAGGCAGACGCAAAAGTTAAACTACAGGAACTCCTAGACAAAGTTGTAACGGAAAGTAGGAAGAAGGGACTAACCAACAATTTTAAGAAGAGAGAATTAATGTTCGTCATCTAAAGAGAGGTAGCTTAAGATATATGTGACAAATTGAAGACGACAAAATCAAGAAATTTAACTCTCTACCAAGGTTTCTAAGAGAAGATGGAAAATGCGACTCAAAAATTTGACACCGTATTGGAATAGAGAAAGATGCCTTCCACAAACTAAAGAAAGTATTAAGAAACCTGTAGATTTCTTTAGAAACAATGAATAAAATGCTGAATTACTATGCAATTTCATTTTCTCTATATGTTAGCGAATGGCAGACAGATGAAGCCGAAACGTGTGCAACAGAGATATGGTTCTATAGAAGGATGCTGAGTATAGCATGAACAGAACGAGGAAGCTTTATAGAAAATAGGAACGCAAAGAACACTTGTATTTAGAATTAGATAGAGGCACTTAAGATTTCTTGGATATATAATAAGGAAAGAGAGTTTATAAAATGTGACACACTCAGGACAAAAAATCAGCGGGAAAATAGAGTAGCCTAAATAAAGCTTGTGTAAATTAATGATATGTTATGGACTAGAAGGGATAGTAAAGGAACAAATATTACTTAGAATTACGATTGATAGAAAATTATGGAAAGACATAATCGTAAACATCATGATGGAAAACGTCTCATACAAGAAGAAGAAGAAGAAGAAGAAGAAGAAGAAG